TCTGGAGGAAGAACATGCGCAGGGTCTGAGGAAGCTGTCTCGCTCTCTTAATGACGCTGCCAACCGTCCCGACAATCGCCAAGGCACTTATGGCTCCAGCTACAATGATCTCAATCGATTCCACGAACGCATGGCGGACCATGGACTTCAATTCGCAGTATCTCTGCAGCAGATGGCTGACGACCTCCACGAGCTCGCCACGAATATCGAGAAGGGACGCAAACAATGGAAACAGACCGGTCTGAGCGCGGAGAAAAGGGTTACTGAGGCTGAGGCGGCAGCGGAGAAAGCAAAGGCCAAGTACGAATCTCTTGCGGAGCAGTATGATCGCGTGAAAACCGGGGACAAACAGGGCGGGAAATTCGGCTTGAAGGGACATAAATCTGCTGCCCAACACGAAGAAGAGCTGTTGCGCAAAGTGCAAAATGCGGACGGGGATTATGCTGCCAAGGTCACGGCCGCACAAGCGGCTCGACGAGAATTGATTTCCACCCATCGTCCGCAGGCTGTGCAGAACATCCAGAAATTGATTGCAGAGTGCGACTCTGGTCTTACGTTGCAGCTACAAAAGTTCGGTATGATTGTCATGCGTCTCGGCATTGAAACCGATTTCTTGATCTTTGCGCTAACTCATGCTCCAGCGACATTTAATGAGAAATTGCTGCTGGGACAAGGCTTATCCATTACGCCTTTAGATGAGGGTGCTGGCAGTGGCTCTATTGGACCCAGGAGTCTGTATGAGGTGGTACGGCAGATTGACAACCAGAAGGACTTCCAGGATTATATTCTCAGCTACGAACATAATCCGGGTGCGGTGACTTCGGAGCAGGTTCAGTACCAACGTCATCCGGTAGGTTAAATTTTATCAATCGTTATTACCTGCATGCTCATCCCGTGTTAGACACTGGGAGGTACGCCCACCCCCGTTGCTCCGGCCTCACAGCCTTCTACACAGAACAAGCGCCAGTCAACCATGTTTCCTTCATCATTTTCCCAACAACATCTTCCTATCGGCCAGCCCTCCACTCAGCCATCTGGACCGGCTGCGGCCCCGTCTCCGGCACCAGCGTCCGCTCAAAGCACCCAGCCATCGTCTTTTCAGCCACATCCAGACTCCTTCTCCTCGCCACCCCCATTTCAACCACCTTATCCGACCTCTTCTGGATTACCGGCTCAAGATCAGCACAATGTGAACAAACCGCCCGTTACGGCACCGGCTAATCCTTTGCCTCCACCTGGAAACAGCTTCCAACAGAATCTCCCTCCTCTGAGGCCGGTCTTCGGGGTATCATTGGAAGATCTATACGCCAGAGATGGGACTGCCGTACCAATGATTGTTTACCAATGCCTCCAGGCAATAGAATTATTTGGGTTGGATGTGGAAGGCATTTACCGTCTCTCGGGGAGCGCCAATCACATCAACCATATGAAGTCCCTTTTCGACAACGGTATGTGTAACCGCAGTTTAACCCGCCTCTCTGCCAAACGCTGACCTCTGTGGGTGACAGACTCGTCACAAGTGGATTTTACGAATCCCGAGAGCTTCTATCATGACGTCAATAGTGTCGCCGGGCTGCTGAAACAGTTCTTTAGAGAACTGCCTGATCCCTTGTTCACTTCCCGATACTATTCTGATTTCATTAATGCAGCTCGTAAGTACCTCAAATCGAACCCAGGTTGCCATGTGACAAGAGCTGACACGTATTTTCCGAAGGGATCGATGATGACATCCAGCGTAGGGATTCACTACATGCACTCGTCAATAACCTTCCAGATGCGCACTACGCCACGCTGAGGGCTCTGATACTGGCAAGTGATTCCGCTTTCACCCATGTTTCTATCCTCCAGGGTCTAATTTGCTCGATTCTAGCACCTCAACAAAGTCCAAGAACATTACATGAATAATCGTATGAATGCAGGGAATATTGCAATCTGCTTTGGGTAAGTCGCCGACCCCATCCCCTCATATTCGTTCTCTGCGAGACTTCGGAAGCTGACAAGCATCACTAGACCTACTCTCATGGGTGCCAGTTCCGGCGGCAACATTGCCGATGCCGGTTGGCAGGTCCGCGTTATTGAGACCATTCTGGTCAATACCTTCCAGATATTCGATGATGACTAGATTTTGCTCTCCCTATCAGACTGGGAGCTCTATGACATTTCATGACTCATGCTTAGGGGTTCAGAAGTCATGTCTGTCGGACTCTGTTGCGCTGCAGATTGCACATTTCAAACGTCCTTCTTGATTCCCCCGTCATAATTCCAACCGTTTTCACATAGCCCGCGATGTAAATATTGTTTCTTTGATGTTGGATCGACTGTCTTCTGATGAGATACCACCCCTGTTTCATAATTCACCTTACTTCAGGACATGGTATGTATTTCTGCCTTGAACGTATTGGCGGTCCAACTTTGGGATATATCCAGTAATTACATGAATAACGAGAAATGCAAAATTGATATGGTACAGTTCATAACGAGATCTAATGGTCCAGACTCCCTATATCCCGCTGAATAATACAAATCATAAGGAATGTGAGGAGATGATCCCAAGTCGAAAGAAGGCACGACCAGAGATTCTGCATAAGTATAACACATGCGAGAATGGAAAGTAGCCGGCACTTGGATAGCTATGAAGCCGCCCACATGCAGGCGATTTGCAATCGAGAAGAGCATGGCATTCTTCTCAATAACTCAATGCGGACAACACTTGTTGTTCGCCGGGTTGATAACAGAATGGAGACTTCTTCTCAAGACGAGCGGCCCCGAACGCACTGGCATAGGCGGATTCGAACTGCGACATGGCGCAGTGAATTAAGTGATAGGTTGAAAAGGATGATTCACATCATTTCTTTCCTGTCATCATGTCCTTCATAGCATCCATGCGCTCGGAAAGTGTGAGTCCCGGGGCAAAGAAGGGGCTGTCGAGATCTTCGACAGTCGTGGGAGTGGCATGGCCCCAGATACGCCATTCTTGTTCTTCACCAGTCCACCGAAGTTTCTGGATAACGATATATTCCGTGCAGTCTTGCTGCTTAGCTGGCGCAGGCTGTGCGGCGACAGCACTTTCAGCACCGCGCTTGGTGGGGATAGTGACCTTACTCGTTGACTGACGGCTAGTGATGCGCACAACGACCTGTCGTACTCCAGAATCAGGCAAGTCTGGAATTTGCGTGGCACGATCAGCCAAGACGCGAAGGCCAGTGAAGAGCGTGCCTGGTGTGCGATTGTACTTGTCCAGGGCCCAAGTGACCTTCTCATCCTTCGGACGGCTGGCTATGCGGGAGCTGAGGTTATTCGCGAGGCCGCTGCAACAGATCTTGCGCAGGGTATTGACATCTCCGCTATAGGCCATCAAAAAAACTGGTTAATTGACTGCGCAAAGCTCGAGGTGATATGATGAGGACTTACTCAGCAAAAGCACTATACATCCGCTGATGTAGCTCGCGAGCAACCTGGCGCCGCTCCTTCAGCCGCAGCGGTAGTCCCTTGTTGATCCATTTGCTGTAAGCGATGAGCCTGGTATAGGTCAGCACCGGACTGGTTTAGAGAAACCCCATGCCACGCGAAAGTTTTCCCGGATAGCCGTAGACGAGGAACGGCACACATACCCAAGGAAGTTCTGAACCGCATTCTTCAGCCATAGCCACTCAAGCTGTAGGCGTTCTTTCGGCTGTTGAAAGATTGATGGCATGTCTCTCCACAGAGGTCGAATGAAAGTGCCGGGCAAGAGGCCAATGTCTTGTGGTAGTTCCGACCTCGACAATTCTCTTCCTCTGGTTCTCATACTCGGTTGTGCAGGCTGCTTAACTGAAATATTCTGCGGTATGCCAGACAGGCCCCGCTGGGCCATCTGAGACTGAGAGAAAAAGCGGCATTGGCAATATGCTACAACTGGGGAACTCGGCGAAGGCGCGGATTGATAGAACTCGGCAATGGGAGTGCCGGACCGCACAACCGTGCGCAAGGAGCTGGAAGAACGCCATAGGGAGGACGCCATTAGGGGCTGAGGTAACAGGAGCGCCGAACTGACGGACTGGACTCTGGGATGGCCTGTTGGATGTGCAACAAATTATTCCATCCAACGATGGAAATCACGGGATGGGGCTGATCACATGACTGGCTTCTCCGCTGCGGGTCTCCAACCGGCGTTTTGGCATTTACCATCACAATGATCACTGAAGTCCGCGCGGCACACTGGCTTTTGAAAGTGTCAGGTCCTGGCTGCATTCCTCTGACTTACTTGGCTACTTTTCACTCTCCTGAGCCATAAGTTTTGCAATTTTGCCCAGCCAGGAGCCTTTTGTTCTCGGAGAGGGAAAAATAGGAAAAGGGAACATCACGCCTTCAGCAAGGGGAACTGGCCCCCGCACAATCTAGCTTATCATTCTCTCGTTGGCGATCTCGCTGACCTTTCCCCCCTTTCTTTCTTCTGGGTGTGATTGCGCAGCGGCCGCATATGCCGTGGAATAAGGCTGGCTCCTCCTCGTCGTGATGCCGCTCCTCCGCCCTTCCCCCTCCATAATCGGATTCCTTCTGAGCCTGATATAAATACTCCCCGTTCGGACTCGAATCAATCACCACTCCCGCCTTCGTACTCTTCAGTTCGCAGCTCAAGAGGCGAGCTTCGAGATAAAGGCGTGGCTTCGACGTCTACTGTACCCGCCATTGTCCCTCCATCCCCGGCCTCACCTGCATCACAACTTCCCCTCAGCAACGATGCAGGACGCACCGCTCCCTCTTCGGCGCTTCATCCTCGCGTGGCCGTCATTTTGGGAGTTGACAGGAAGTGGCACGCGCCTCTGCTGGTCTGTCGAGCGCTGAGCACGGTGCCTGCTGCATGGTGGGGGCTGCGGTGTGCTTTTACTTTTCTGGCTGAGCTTCTTCACATACGGCCGGGGATGGGACGGGAAGGCTGGGCGGCAGCAATTATCGGGAGTGTTGGACAAGATTGGGATGTAGAGAGGAGATTTAGAGTGACGGAGGTGGCATTGGCTATTATGTGGGTATGTAGAATGGAGATGATTCTCGCGACCTATGGACCCTTTGCCCTCTAGTCCATCCGGAAGGTTTAAGGCTTTTGCTGACCATTGACCTTCTCCATAGTGCTGCGCATCCGCATATCTTTCTTATTTTTTTGCAGATTGCATGATGTCTCGATGGTTCGTTTTCGTTCTGAGCCGCCTGTTTCCTTCCGGGTTGCTGATCACTCTCTGGCAGGCTTTTGAATTATACCCCACCGGCTGTTGTCATTCGTCTTCTTACAACAAACGGGCTGATCGCTTACATTACTTCTTGGGTTCTTTACCTCTCCGGTGCATCGTCAGATCCACGTCTTCTTCTACCGGCATGGATATCGATTACAACAGTACGTACGACCCTGTCTCCCTAATTATGTACTTTCAAACCCGTTGAAAATACTGACATCTTGAATCGAAGACCCTTACCTTCCTCTACCACGCTACTCAAAACCACGCAACAATCAAGCGTGAGACAACCGCATCGTTGTTGGTGGTATCAGTTGCCAGCTTCGTCAGTATGTCCTCACTTCTTCTGCAGCTACACTTGACCCGCGAAAACGAGCCAGAGGTACCCTTGTTCGTGATCACGCGGAAGTTGTGGGACTGGGCTGTTGCGATATTCCTTCGTATGCGAGTTGCGGATGCAAGGGCTGGAGCTAGGGAGCTGTAAATATGGTTGCAAACATGATCTTTTCTCTGTTTACTAGACAATATCTGCGAGCCTCGCGACAGCCTTCGTCTTCGTTGAGCCCCTGTCTATGATGGGAACGACGGGCTTTCGTCGATAGAATAGGATTTACTTTGCCAAATCTGAGTACTGGTCATCCGTCGAACAGATTGCACCGATAACGAAACCGGGTTAAGTAATATTACCAAAACAGGTACAAAGAGTCAAAGTAACATGAATTGACGAAACAGAGAGGAGCCAGAGGAAGTCCCTCTCTAAAACGTCTGCTGCGCAAAACAGGCCGTCACAGACTGCGAAGCAGCACGACATAAAAGTTGAAAACAGACTGAAAAAACATCTATGCAGATAATGGGTATCTACCAACGCCTCGTTCCTTCGCTAATCCCGTTCCTAGAAAAACAGTCGAGTCAAGAAAATAAGAGAATCTGAGACCCGCTTCAAGTGAGTCGTCCGCTCACGAGGGAGCAAAGGATTAACTTTGAGCGCGTCATTTCGACATGGCCCAAGTCCAAAGTGCCGGGCACAGAGATGGTTAGGAGTAGAGACCAAGCAGTTTTGGCAAGCACCACGCAGGTTCAGACCAGGGATGGACAAGACAACATGCTCCCTATCCCAACCACTCAGAGGGCGATGTAGACTGGGAAGAAGGGACCGGAACGGGGCGTGGCGTCTAAATTAGAACCCATGGACTTTGATGGTCTTGGCATCGAGCTCGAGACCTTCCTTCTTGTCGGTCAAGAACTCCTGAACATCCTTACGCTGGTCTCCTTGCAGCTGAATCACCTCTCCCATTTCAGAGTCATTGACGATAGTGCCATTGCATGCTAGAAAAGCGTTAGCTGTTTGAGTCTTCCAATTTCTGTTGAAGGCCGTGGCAACAACATACCGAACTTCTTCTTGATAACCTTCAAGATCTTCTTCTGATCGAACTTCTTAGGAAGACCCTGAACTGTGGTCAAGGTCTTGCGACCATTGCGTTCTGTTGAGGGCGACAGTTAGCAACCATTGTCTCAGGTAACAGAATCTACCATTGGCAACGGCAGATAAAATGAGTTGATGGATTGAGACGTACGCTGAATCCGTATATGGATGTAATTCTGAGACTGTTTAGTCTCGCCGGTGTCTTCGTCAGCTTCGGCGAAGGGGTCTGTGTAGAAGCACGTGTCAGCCTTAGGCTCTCATGACCTGAAAACTGCCCCGCCAAACCGTTCTGCAGCTCATATGATAAGACGAAGCGAGTAGCAACTCCATGAGGGTGGGTTGTCCATTAAGAATAGTATAAGTAGTGCCATTGTAACTCTGTGAGAGGCACCGTGATGTTCTCCCAGAGTGGACCGCAGAAGGCACAGAATCGCAGGTAGTTAGGGGAGGTGGCAAAGTCACTTACCGAAGGTCTTGAGGTTTTCGATGGACATAAACTCGGCCTTTGGTCGTAAACGGCCCTTAAAAGCGGTGGATTATTAAGTGAACGAGGTGAGAGATCAGATGTCTCTTTGTAGTTGCGAGAAATTGCGAGTTTGCGAACGGAGGGGAGTTGATCAAAAGTAGGATGGTGGTGTCAGAGAAAGAGATAGAAGAGGAACAGAAGAGCCTTTTGAGGGGCGCGCCTCGTTTTAGCGCCCTTGTGGGGGAAGGCGGTGTGGCACTGACTAAGCCACTCTGGCCCTCGCATATGGTATATTTATAACCTCTTCACTTTCGACTGGACCACGACTCAAATGGCAAAAGAAGCTGTACCATGGATTTCACAGGCAGTGGATGGCGTCAAGTATCTGGAGTCCGACCTGGGGGTGGGTTTGTCCTTGACGTGGTGGCGAAGATCGCAAATTATGCTTGAGGGATAACTACATGATGGGTATGTATCAGCGGGTAATTTGCGAACATGGAATCATTCCATCGTTTAGTAAGGTATTATTACATGAATTTGAATCCATAAATTACGAAAATATGGTCACAATGCCACACCGTGCATATATACCGTAGGAATAAGAAGGCTGTGGCAAGGGCACATGGCCTGGCTGATTTAGAGCACTTAGATGATTTTCTCCTGACTCGACCATTGTTTCAGCTTTAGTCTGTAGCATATCGTTTGTAACAACTAGCCTCGAAATGCGATTCGCGACTGATCCCTGTACGACTTAGTCGATATTTTAAGGTGAGGGTGAAGGAGAAGGAGCAGCAGCGGTGCTTCGTGCGGATGGAGGTGGCATAAATATGGGGAAATATGTCTGCGCGATGTGGTTAGAGATTGGTCGGGGCTATTGAAGGGTTGAAAGGGAACAATATCTCGGTTACATACAACGACGAGCGCCATTACTGTAGAGATTTTCAGCTGTCAGTCATTTTCCGCGCTCACTTGCGGGGGAAGAGGGAGAGACGAACAAGACATCAGGACGGACATGTATGCAGGCGTAGCTGCCGACTTCTTTTGCTCAGGAGTTTCTCCGAGCCACGACTGGAGAGAGAAGACGAAAGAAACCCATCCAATCATCCTATGCACGCCGCGTACAGTAGTCAGATACAATAGCTTGGACCCGCTCGACGAGGTATCTCTCACCTATTCCGAGTGAACATCTACGGAGAGAATGTCAGCATGCGTCGAAACCGTGACCAAGAGACTGCAGCTTTGACATACCGCGGCCATTGGCATAGTGCTAGACATCGCTCCTAACGCGGAGTATCAGCCAGATCATCCCTTTGCTGCACAAGTTTCCCAAATTCAAAAATCGAATGACTTTGTACCTGACATATCGGCCTCATTCTTATCCTTCGGCGGCTCGATGTAGGGGATGGCTACAGTTCGGGACTGATATTAGCGAAACTGCACTCTTATGATCGATATTGAACTCAATTCAGGTAGACTTACCGAGGTCTAGCCTCCGCATATCTTTCTTTGACGCCATTTTTATGCTGATAATTCGAAGGATAGGCGCACGGCTTCTTTGAATAGAGCAGCGTGATAAGGGATGTTGTATTGATGGTCAGCCAAGCAATCATTCTGACGCCAGGACCAAAACGGCAAGGTTGGATGGAGGTTGGTTAGATAACCATCCGTAGATAATCCGTGGCGGACTGCGGGGAACACTTTGATGATCCATCATCCGTCCATGTTTATTGACCAGCAATGGATGCTGGTGAGCGTGATCTTTCATTTGATAAGACAGCAGTGGTCAAAGATCGACTGTATTGGGACCTGAACTGGAGTCGGCTATAAAAAGGGCTGGATTTTCGCGGGATCGTTAAAAGTGGACAACGAAGAACATCCGTGAAACCATACTATCAAAAACCAGACTATCAAGAGCATCTCTCAGCTGCTCAGCTAACTAGCGGCAGGGATAAAGCTCAAGTCGTAGTTGGATCATCCATGATGACTTGTTATCACTCGGCTTATCGGGTTCGGTTTCCTCATTCCAATCCAGGACTTGCCCCGACGATCCCGACGAATGGTGCTGTAAAAATGGGATAGCGGCTGAACGATGGTCCTGATAATAGCTAGCAATCGAGAGATCCTCCAACTGCAAAGTAATATTAGGTTCACGATAGGCGACTGCGATACTAGTTATCGCACTACGAAACATCTATATATCGGCTTCCAATTCAACAGGCACTTTATCTGCTCATGTAAAAGACGTACTACTGGGCGAGAGCCCCCGTTACTGTTGCTCAATCACCTATTTGTTTGGCTAATTCGGCGCAGAAATTCACATGAACGTGATAAGCGTTGCAAATGATTCTATGAAGCCGGGAGAAAGCGCAGTTGGCCACCTCTGGGTTGCAGAAGATAGAAATGGCCTGTCAACTATCAACATAGGACACTTTCGTGCCTAACTTCCTCCCATCATCTCTACATGCATGAAGCACAGGTACAGCTGTAGATTCGCCATTCAGAAGCCAAAGGTATGCATAATGGTATCTTGAATACTCTACAGATATGATCTCCTGCATTTGAAAGGTCTTCCTGGGTCCTTGAATGGCGGGGGCGCCTGCTAGATAGGTATGCCCACAGGTGCACGTTTGGATCTGTAAAGTTTGACTCTGACCGCCACAGTCCTGCTCCAGTCTGCAGCTGGGATGGGACATCTTGATACTGCGCATCAGAAGGATTGGCTGATGAGCCTTGAGGGGTCGATTATTTATTGTTAGCAGACCTACAACTGCGCAAGCTACCAGGGTCTCTGTATGTATCTGGTAGGGTTATGATAGGCCTTTGTCTATTTACTGCTGACAATATGACCGATTTGCAACCGATGCGGTACTTGCATGGCCATCTAGAATAATCAGGTATGCATGAGCCCATCACCTTCTGGTGACAAATGTATTTCTACTTAGGTGCATCGAATGTTGCGACATGATGTTAACATATCCAATGATAGGGTGGGGTTTGATTCCCTCTCTAACCTCAAATCTTCACTGCAAGGTTCCGAACTTCCACTCCTTTGTCCATCATCAGTGTCCATGTCAAGTTTCACCGTGTCACAACAGTGTGTGTGGTGCCACAAACAAATTGCTCTCTCCGAAGCGACACTCGCCCACTTTCGGGGATCAGTGGAGTCTTACACATTATTGGGGGAGGGCAGGCAGGACGAATAAGGTGGGTAACAGAAAATAGGTTAGGTACTGCGGAGTAGTAATTCGCTGATCGCACACACATATGGTCATACGTTGGGCCATAGCCTCGTAGGCACTTGAAATCTCGAGGCTAAGGCAATCGCCTGATACCCCGAGATCTTCAAAAGTGCTGGGTTGTGGAATGATTCGCCGGATAAGCCGAGACAACAATCAACGGTTGACAGGCGGATTCCCCGTAGAGATGGAGCGGAACACCATCGGAGAGACCCAAGTCCCTAAAGACAGGTAAAGTTGCGTGATAACTATTGATCAATATCATTGTTGGCTTGTTTCCATGATCATGAACCACAGACTCCTGATCAGTAATTGGATCTGGTATATCTCCTTACGATCTCGAATCCCGGCTAGATACTACTACTTAGGTGGATAAGGGAGCGTTTGGAGAGTAGGTATCACAAACTACGGATACTTAAGGTCTAGATACTTATTGGATAGTAGAGAAAAGTACACTCTGTAGTCTACTTTCCATTCCTCCCCCGCGGTAACTGACTGCTGAATTCCGACGGAGTGTCCAGTCGGTAGGTATGCAGGTATGCGTCTTGGTCACTTACGTTATCTGGAGTTCAGACTGGTTAGTATTATCTCCGTCTCCGGGCTCGGCTGGATCTCTCATCTGCCTTCTCCTATATTGCTTTTTAATATTCTGCGTCAATCCACTTTCTGAGTCCTGTTTGTTTGCTCTAGTTCCGCCATCCTTCATCAGCAATCAATCGTTGAGCAATGTTTGTACAATAGTGCATTCCCCCGATCGTCCGAGACCATATCCTCCTACCACCGGCACGATTACCCACCACCCGCGCCGCCATATCCATCCGAACCGCTTCATCCTGATTACCCATTGATCGGGCGTAAAATAATTCGAATACCATCTCGCCATTTTCCACATGTTCAATAAACTGCGAACCATCCTATAAATCACACGCGATTTGATGCGGATAGTTTTGAATGGTCGATACCCTCCTCAACTTGTTCCGATGATCCAGATACCGATGCTTGTATACACCATGAAGCTGAGATGATACCTTATTCTTCTGCCGGCGTTCAATCTTGGGGTCAGCCCCTTCACGCCGTTTATAGCGGTACTGGACGTGCCGACCTTTCGCAGCCCCTGGGTCAACCTGACCGTCAGTCCGAACAGGCATCTATGCCGGTGCCGCAATTACAAGGTAGACCACCGGCACTCATCGATCTGACGGCGAATGACGGAGATGTGCTGGAGCGCGAACCACCGGCGAAGAGACTGAAAATAGATGTGCATGCTGGGTCAGTGGCTGGTGATGGAAGCCCAGCTTCTGCAGGTGTGGGAGAATCAAAGAGTACTCCAAGTACAACAACTTCGAAACCGCCTTCGCTGTCCTGGCGTGCGCGTCCGGTGTGGTCATTTCAAGCATTACTCTCTGAGGTATCTGGAAGCGCAGAGATCAATGGTGAAAGTGCAGCAGGTGTAGTGCAGGATGTGAAGCCCCCATCACCGCCTTCATTTCCTGGTCCACCTTGGAAGTTTGCTCCAGCAGATACCAAAGCAAGTGATCCCGCAGGAGCACAGGATGGTGCACCAGCAAAGGAGGTGCAAACTACACCATATCATATTGAGACCCCTTCTGTTGCACCAGTTATGGGAGGCGAGAGTGAGTCACTACCCTTCAACACGAAAGAAGCATGAAAGCCGTCTCTGACTGTTGATTTCTCTTGCAGAGGTTGCGGATTTCTCCCCATGGATGGGCAATCATCCGGAAGACGTACTTAATGAGCAAACGGCAAAGCAGGGATACTACGATCGCACACAGGTGTCTCAAAATGAGTCCAATACAGCTCGCCCCTCCCTGTATGCGCAATTGAAGCATCGCTCTGGCCTGCAAATACTGTCGTCGGTTTTTGCAGCCGCACTGGAGAAAAGACAGGGCCATAATATGGTCACTGCGCCTTCAACATTCAAGCCCCCTCCGCGAGTCACGCTGACGGACAACAAACGTGAGGCCTGGCTCCGCGATCTCGCGAATCCGAATGTCCCGTTGCGCAAACTTAGTCGAACCATTCCTCATGGTATCAGAGGCAGAGTTCTTTTAGACCAATGTTTGACCAAATGGGTTCCTGTCGGCCGTGCTGTGTGGCTTGCGAAGTGCGTCGGCGCCAACGAAATCCGTGCTTTCAAAAGGAAAGGTACCAGTGGGGCATTGGCTATTGGCCTGGAAGCTAAATGGGTGCGCGACTGGACTGCCAATGTCCAACAGTTTCTTGAAGGTGTAATCACTAGTTGTGGAGAGGCAGACTGGAAGATGAAGATGACTTACGCGGTCAGCTTGACCGCTCGTTTGTTCTTTGAGCAACTGCTTGACCATGACCAGTATCTCGGTTGGTTCCTCACATCGCTGGAGGCAGCGCCATTTAACACTTTGCCAGTCTGGCTTCTAATGTTAGGAATCTACTGGAGCAACATACTGCGATATAGGAAGCGAGGACGGCGGCTCGCTGAACTCTTGCTTGACAAACTACAACTAGCTATCAAGTCAGATTCGGCCACATCCCTTCGCCCGTTGACAGACCGATTGTCACTGCATATCAGAAAACTAACTCTTGAGCATACTTCATCCATGGTGCTTCCACAGTCATGGGAAAAGTACAAAGATCTCCTATCGTCCTGTTTGAACCTAAACGACAATGTGCACAGAGCGGTCTTTCAAAACTTGGCTGAGCGAAATGCGCGGGTGCAGAGGCCTCGGAAATGTGAAGAGACAACACAACAGCCGCCACAGCAACGCATCATCCAACTGTTCGACTCGATAGGCTCTTCGCACGACATCACATCTGTTTCCGCTGCATCTCTGGGTGCGATAGATGACAAGGCTGCTCTGGTCCTCAAACTGCTCGAGTGGGCAGCGACTCCGTTTCGCTATGGTGTATCTCGTGTTTATACCGGCGCCCGCCTCCTGCGGAAATGGAAGATCGCTGGAGTCGATGTGGATACCTACATCATTTCCTTTCTTGGCGAGAGTCAGATGAGAGACCAATTGAACATGGACAACATCTATCATATCGTCTCTGAGCTCGTCAGATCCCAGACATTTTCGGTTGGAAAGTACCTTCAGTGGCTGATGGCAAAGGGGGTTGCAGATTTTCCCCGAAACTCCGACCATCGGCCCCTTTCGGGGGACCTTGCACTTCTCATGCAGCTCCCTGTGAGCCGCCTTCCTGAGCATGTACACAACCTCCGTAACACTCTGCTGCATCGCGCCGGAGTCGAAGTGCCGAAAGAGGCTTCTACCATCGCCATACTCAAGGCATCAATAGCCGAACGTCTCCCAAGGATCTTTGGTTCTGCCGCGGCAAGTGCAGTATCCCGTGGCCCTTTACCGTCAGATCTGACCTGGGCCGTGAAATCTGAGCTTGGTCAGTGGATTCGGCGTGGAGTTACTGAGTTTGGGCGGGATCCTCGTGACGCATTTCGGGAGCTCCATTTGGACCCTGGCGCAGAGCACTTCGCACTCACCCCTGGCGAATTCTATACTGTAAGGGATATTTTGGAAAGTTTCGGCGATCTTTCAATTCTTGCGGACGTACTCAAGCAGGTCACCGTTTGCAATGACGGAATTGTTTTGGCATCCGCTGCCGATACAGTCAATTATCATTTCCGTTCTTTCTGTGTTATCGGTGCTACAACCGATCTTTTCAAGAGATTGGTAGAGTCATATGCCCGTCTCAAACGGCTTGGATCGACCTCCTTGGACTTGATCTTCTCATTGATAGACCTTGGGCTTCGGTTACCGGGAGAGCTCAATACAGTTGCTCTTCTCCGTCAGGACCTCTCCCGGATTGAAAGCAAATCATCTATGGCAGCACCATCACCACTGTCCGATCACATACCCTCTTCTTTCAATGAAGCCGATCCGCTTTTTCTGTTGAAGCTAGACCAGCTCCTCTCGTCCGCAAGTGGTATAGATGAGTCCACGTTGGATACGATTTTTAACCTTCTCGTCAAACAAATAGAATCCAGCGGTGGCCATGCTAAGCTCTCGGTGAATGAAACATGCAGGTATTTGTCGTACCTCAGACCTTTTCATCCCAAGCGTTTCGACATCATGATAGTCCGCTGGATCTGTGGCCTTCTCAGATCCACCACCGGAGGGATACTGTCCCAAATCCTGCCTCCTTTGATCGGCGTTGGATGCGTTACCATTCAAGCCTTCGTGTTCCTCGTACGAAGGCTTCTCAAGTCCGAGAATATGATATCCAACCCAAGAGACTTGCGCATAGGGCTTCTTCAACTTCTTGTACCTCCACCGGCAGGCCAGAGTCGATATTTCGACATGGTCACATATCGCTTCCATCTGTCACGGAAAGAATTTTTGTTCAAGCACCCTGAGGAGGTTTTCGACATTATTCGGGATGCTATCGCCTTGATTGATTCGCAAAGCCAAGAAAGAGACTTTTGTCAGGGACAAGTGGATCTAGGTCACAGTGCGATGGTACTCCTTCAGATTTTGCTCACCAAGAATCCAGAAAGTGCTGTTCAGCACTGCACAGAGAAACTGATTGGTCAGCATCCGTCTGCAGTGACAGTTTTGACAAGAGCGCTTGATTTCCTTCTGGGATTGGATACCAAAGCAGGTGAGTGCTTATTCACTTCAAATGGTTCTTTTATCTTCATTCCCATTGACACTAGACCAGCGCCCCCAGACATATCTGTTGCTGAGAAGGTCATCGAACTGACCAACGATTTCTCCCTCCCTTTCTGTCAATTGAAGCTTCAGCTTCTATTCAACGCGGAGACTAAGGGTGATGTGAGAAACGAGATAGTGGACGTGATGTTCAAAGCTGCAGTTGCAGACTCTCGCTCAAGACGATCCAACTGGGTGGGACTGGTTCGTCTCATGAGTCATGATGCAATCCAACAGGTAAGGTGCTATGATGAAGGTTCAATACGGTTTCCAGACTAATTTGTCTAGATTCGAGAACGAGCCGAGAAAAATTTCTTCGCTATACCCTTGTTTGAGGAGTCACCCGATGGCTGTTCGTCAATTGCTGCAGACAACAGCAGCTCACTCGAAACGGCGAAACTGTACCTGACGATCATCGAGAAGCTGGCGTATAGCATTCCCGATGTGGGCCCACAGGCTGTTGTCCCTGTCCTCACCGAGAAGATGGATTTACTGCTCCAAAGACTTATCAGCATGCAAGCGAACTACAGTGGTACTACTGAGCTTAGTCATGGAGTTGACGCAGAACTAATGATCCGATCACGCGCGCAGTTCGAGAGAGCCCTTGCGTTCTGGTTCTCTGCGTTGCTCAGGATGATTGTCCTTCATCGGACTGCTTTCAGTGTGCCATCAGCCGCACTCAGACCCAGCGCATTGCCAGAGCAAACGCGCTTGCTGATATCGATATTCTGCATAACTCTCGCGCGTCTTCCAGATAGTGTGCTGCGACTCTTCCCAGCGGCTGACTACTTTCCCCACTCAATGAGGGCAGGAGACTGTCGTCCTTGTCCGGGTATCCTGCTGCAGACGCATGCCCTGGATGTTGCAGCATCCCTGATTGATACGTTTCCTGACGAAGCCCGTCATCAATGCGCTCGCTATCTGAGGGAGAAATGCCCTCCTTTCGCTCGGGTTCAGAATGACTCGCGCTTCCTCTACCTTCTTGGTCCCCTTGGCGATAGCCCATCTTCTAACCTTACACTTCCTGTATCCATTCCATCACCTGCTGCTTCTGGTTCCACTCCCGCCCCTACTCCTTCGGGTAATCCCCCAGGCGGGTTCTCTCACCCCCAACAACCTGCATTCGTTTCAGGTGTGCCGACTGGACTGCCAGATGGCTTGAACTGCGCTGCTAGCCATCTTTGTCTTCAGTACCGTGGCCGGGCCATTGGAGCTTACCCTGTACGTCCATGGGAACTCCTCGAAGATGCTGCTCCCGTTGCTGGTACCAACGACACTGCAGTCAGTCTAGGATACTTTGATGCCCGGCGTGTCAGGGTCTAGCACATCAGGATCTAGTTGACTTCTCATCTATCTACGTCATGCCCTTGTACATATCATATCTTTCTGCTTTGTCATTTTGGTGTTGTCTTCATTCGATTCTTCCATATTCCCGGAGTTTGATATCATATCCAACCGCATCTCTTCCTCCCTCTTCCTCTCGTTTCTCGACACATGGCTCTGAAAGAATTCCTGGCCGAGGTCTTGCACCTTGTTGACTCGTTCTTGTCCACAGCCGGTTACGCTCACTCACTCCAACTATTGCGTCTTTATTACGTTTGCATCATTTTCATGCCGCCTGTGCATTTTCTGGGATCGACTGTTTCACTTGAAGAAAGCGTTTGGAGTGTGAGAACCTCGGTGCGCAAACATATGCTTATTGTCATCGCACTTGGCTTCTGTTGCATGGTCTGAGAGCATTCACGGTGACTTATATAGAACCTGGCGTTCGTATGGGATAGGTGGTTCATCGCACTCGGCGGGCAGCATACACATATGTTAAGATACTTCATGGCATGATATCAAATGGCCCTAATTTACGGGATATGACTACCTATCTTTCGTTATTACAGTCGGTTTCTTGTATTTTTTGACACGGTCTAGACTAAAGGATTGACTCATGCTTGACAAATTGTCCTGATCATTATGATATCACGACTACATACGCTCAAGGCAGCCGCTGGTTCTTAGGGTAGCGTTCTTCTAAAAATACCTAGGTGGTTGGAGACAAGGTGCACTGGACTCTCTGAACGGCGTCAAGAGATATTCTAAGTAAAACGGTTGAAGCAAGTGGTGTTGGTTATTAGGTTACCCCAGTCAAATATTCATACATGCCTTGTACTTCCATTTAGTTTAACCGGACATATATATCGAATAGACATTATCCCATTTCCTCCATCCATCAGGGTTATCACAAGGGTATATATAGAGCTTGATCCATGAATCATCCAACATATAATCAACCTTGCAAACGAAATCCAACTCCAAAACGCCAAATAACAAAATGTCCTATCTCAAATTGATGCCTGAGTGCCGGTAACCAGCTTGACTGCTGATTCCCACCATCCCGCCCCCGGCACCCTTCCTCCAGATAAACTGGAACGCGGTTTGCCTCCTCGCATCAGAGCGAGAAGGGCTTATTGCATGCCTGGTGAGGCATACGTTTAGTTGGAGACGGATGGGAACTTGGACTCGATGATGTTTGAGTCCAAGACCGAGATTGACGGTTCCTCCGCCTTGTCGTGGTTGTCGTTGTTGCGATTGTCGTTGTCTTGGTTGCCGAAGAATAGTTCGTTATCGGTTTTCCGAGGCGGCAGATCGGCGCTCGAGCTGCAGGAGCGCAATCGTAGGCGTACAGGTGAGCCGATGCTCACTGAAACACTGCGGCTTCGAGATCGTCGTCCTCTGTTCGATTCTGTTTCGCACTCCGGGACGACTTCCAGGTAGGACGTGAAAGTCGTGGTGGAGGTGGATGTCGATTCGATGAGAGAATTAAAGTCGTCAGTACTAAAGACGGACGCCGTGTTGGACGAGTCTTTGGAGTGCGAGCGCGAGTTCGAGGCTGGTTCTTCTGCATCCGAACCAACAGCGGAGGAGTCGTTGTGTGTTGTCGAATCGTTATCGGTAGTTGTAGCAGGCGTGGGTTCGGTGCCGTTGGATGAAGACCCGGTCCATTCTTCACTGAGGCATTTGTGTCGTTGTTCTGCCTCTAATTGTTCGACCACGTCGAGGACCAGGTTCTCGCTCAAGCCGAAGTGTGGGAGATTGTTAATTTCTCGGGTGTAGTCTTCGACGGTCTTGCCGTTGCCAGTCTTTGGCTGAAGTTCGGCGGGAAGAGGCACCCGCGAACGACCCTGGTCCCGCATGGCGTCGCGGGCTTCTTTGCTGCGCGAGCGTCTGAAGGAAGCGCTGGGGCCGGATGCTTGCGGCAGTACCCAGGAAAATGTAGGGTTGCCTTCAATGTCCAACGGCTGGAGGTAGTACATCGGATGTCTTTCGAAGGCCTGTTGATATTGACTCAGAATATGCACATAGTCTTGGGGCGTAGCTGGGTGATATACTAACCTTGATGGCGTCTCTGTAGTCGTCGATATAGGCGAATGTAACTGTGAAGACAGTCGTGAGAAACCCCAGGTCAAGGAAGAAGACTTCTTCAAGAAAACATGATTCAAAATGGCCTCGGCCAGTAAGAGCCGTTTCAAAGTCATGCGGAGACACTTGGAGCCCAGACCGGTGTCCAAGGCGCGCAGTTCCTATATTAGCGTTAGTAGATGTTCAGCAACAGGATGAGGTTAGAAAATGGATCATACTCTTTCCCTTGATCTTTTCGATTCTCAGCCAGCGGTCGTGAAGCTTGATGAGGTCGTTCTCTGCCAGTGCAGCTACGGCATGTTCAACTTTCTGTAAGAGATTAGGTTAATCTACGGGGTCACACATCAGGACGGTGACAAGAGCCAGGGAGTGCTCACCTCGAACTGCACAAAGGCCGTCGGGATTTTTCGCTTGTCACGCTTGACCTTGACATGACATGGACCGAAAGTAGAGAACGTTTGTTGGATATCCCGTACTAGGTCTTTGTCCTCGAGGGTGATTTTCAAACTAATGTATGTTAGAATCTCTAGTCGATCAAGTAGAGGACATCTTACTACTCACTTTCCGACAAAAATACAGGCGTCTGGGGGAAATAGCCCCTGAGCGTTCTCAGACGTGATTGTCGTGTACTGCCTGTCCAGACGAGGAGGAAGAGGCTGCTGAGGCCAGTTTGGGTTCGGAAGAAGGCCAAGAATAGCCATGTCGAATGTGATGGAAAGAAGAGCGAGATTAGAACGAGTGGAGGAGTTCTTGAGGTTGAGGACTGTAAAATAAACGAGTGTAGAAGCGAGTCGTTTGGTGATCAGTCGAGTACTTGTCGAACGATGGGAAGAAATGAAGAAAAGTCAGAGCAGAAGAGTGGCATTTGCGGGGGATTTAAAGCATACTGCTGGCTACCACTCTTCTTATTTCCTAGCGGTTCCAGAAATAATGTCGGGGCATAGTATGGTTCTCTCCTCTCTGAGCTGGTCTAGCTCCTGGACGGAGCACTTGAGAAATCATGACGCCAACTGGTATCGAAACTCGCAGAACAGCTGAGCTGAAAACCCGTACGAGTAATTTATACCGTTCTGAGTCAAGAGACAAAGGACGCGGACAGACTGTATAGATGTTTCCCTTGTGGATGTCTCGAATGCCGCGTATGAGACTCTTTAATTCAGGATGCAAAGCAACGCATTTTCACGGGCTTTGCCCTTCTCTGCCTCAGCAGGCAAAAATTTAGTGCGCTGTTGAACGGATTGACCATTGCAAGCTCGTAGGTAGCCGTCCTCATTGCTTCATTTGCTTGACGGCTTCAAGCCAAAGCGCGCAGCCAGTATTGGGTTGGTTTCAAAGGCCTTTCGACTCCTAAAGTTACAGGACCGTAAATTTCGCCCGGATAGTAAACTTCCTGAGCATGCTTTCTGTTGACGTCCTCCACATCCCATGGATCTCCAGGAAATTTCACTGGCAAAGGTCACAAGGCAGGACAAAAATAGATCAAATGCAGGGATTTTCCAGTCCAGAACGTTCTCATGAAACCCTCTAAGGCAAAACCTGCTGTCATAATGAGAGTCGGAAAGCCAGAAGTGGTTTGTAAGGCTGTCAGGCTGCTAACGTGTAGGAGGAGTGTAGACGTATAGATCGATGTTTTGATGGAAGTGGGTGGATGAGGCTAAAATAAATAAAGCAATGATTATCGATCTGATCTTATCTTCGGCCGATCAGTCCGCAGTTAATTATTGGACGAACGACAGTCACTACGGAGGACGGAGTAACCCAATATGCAGCTTGGCGACATCACCATCATTTCATATAATCCTGGTCTATGATTTATATACTGAACAGCTTCTCCAACACTCAAACATCGAATAACGAATATTTCAGATTGCTTGGCATTACGATAATATATTCGCTGCATAGGGAATCGAGCGTAAAATAAAAAGAAAAAATCATGTTTCCCACGGCTAGGTGCCTGTCCGCCAAACCCGCAGGATTTATCAAGCGCAGCGCGGAGGAGCTGAGCCGTCTATCGAGGATCGGTGGGTAATTATCGCTTCTGTTTCCGCGCTCAATTTCGAATGTGCATGCAATATAAACAGTCACTGATTTCATTGTGTTGAATAGCCTGGAACTCCGAAGGTCTCCATACTCCCACCAAGCCCTACACCCTCCTCGACTTTGAAGATGAATCCACCATCGCCGGGTGCAAGACCATGGCCGACCGTGCCGTTGGTGGATTCAGCACTGCCAGTCTTGACTATGTTCCTGCAGACCCTTCGACGAACACACCTGCCCATGCGAGATTCCATGGGAGCATTTCAACGAAGCTACCTAACAATTGGCGAGTAGAGAGGACGGGTACGTTGGATTGTTCCCGTTGAAGTAGCCTGCTATAAACTCAGAATCTGACCATTCCCTAAAATCAATAGGATACGCCGCGTTTCGCAATAAGGACCGAGGCTTCTGGCTCTTTGGCCGACTATACTGGGATGTCGACCCGTACTCGTATCTGGCCCTTCGAGTGAAGTCCGACGGTCGGCGATACACCGTAAATATCCAGACAGACTCGATCGTCGAGACGGATATCCACCAGCATAGATTATATACTCGTCATCACCGCGTGCAACACCAGACCTCCCGTGACGACCTCCCCTCATATCCGTCGCAAGCGGCCGAGTCACCAGAGCTCGCAGAAACCCTCTTCCCGCGCGGAATTCCTCCTTCGCTCTCCGATGTCCCTCCCGAATCGACAATCATGTCCTCTTCCGCTACAACATCCGGTGGCACGGGCTGGGAGACCATTCTACTACCATTCCACTCCTTTGTTCGTACGAACCACGGCCTTGTGGTCGAGCCGCAGACATCTCTTCTCCGCCAGCGAGTGAAGAGTGTCGGTATCGGACTTACAGATCGAATCGAGGGTCCTTACG